CGACTGTTCTCATGAATACTGACTCTTTAGATTTATTAATAATCTTACTTTCGTCTTCTTGGACGATGTCTTGCGGTAATTCTCTTGTATTTTATGACTCTCATTCCGGAAATGTCCCGATATTTTGAATAAGAGAGTAGAGCCAACTCTCGAAACGTCCATGAAGGATAAGGAAAGATCCAGCTATTTGTCTCTCCTCTCCTTACTTTGTTATGTGAATTGTGGGATGAAATTATTCATCTGATAAGGACTTCTCTCCCTTCCACTAACAAGTCTTTGTCTTCTGGTAGCAAATGCATGGCAAATGAGACAGTCGGACTGATCCCCTTACAATAGCATACGACAACCCCGTCACAGCGGGCAGTGAACTGACCTGACATTGAGCATTACCAACGAGAACAGCAAATGAGCGAACTGTGAGGACGCAAGCCAGATCTCTCCGCTCACGATTATTTATAAAATGATCTCATTTTGGATCAACTTCAAGTCTCCACGGGAAGCATAAAGTAAACCATGACACACGAAGAAGTGCACTCGTAACAAAACAAGACGAGGCGATGAAAATGGATGCAGGTTAACCTTCTCTTTGCTCTTAAGCAGATCTTGGCTCGAAACTCACACAGATTCTGCCACTTCACTGCTCGTTAAATGTTGAGTTACGCCGCGAAGAGCAAAGGACAATTTGCTTTGTGAATATATAAAGAGTAGACATGGCAGACGTAGTCATTTACACACACGAAAACACAGAACTAATGTATAAAAATCCCACATATGCGAATTCCAACGTTAAAATTCTCTGAGGGAAACTCACGATTTTTTTAAAAAGTGTAAACGACGAAAGATCTAGCGATACAAATACTACACGTGATTCACTTCAGTTATCAGTCTAAACCAGTGGTATTCAACCTTTTTTGTTCGCGTACCCCCAGATATAATTTCTCTTCAACTCTGTACCCCCAAAGTTGTTGGTGTATAATTCAAGTTATACATAGTATATAATCTACATCTAAAATAAATTAAATAAATTACATTACTGATTATTCAGTGTTTATCATAAAATAATATATATTTTTTTAAATTT